TCACATAATATCTGCTTTTTGTATAACATGTTACATTTTTCCCCCTAAATTGCTGTCACATGATCTCATTTAAGCCTCTGAACTGCCTGGGAAGGAGGAGGATTTGGGACAGAGACCCCAGTGCCCATTTACCAAGGAGTAGGCACATGGATGTGGGAGGGGGCACTGGGTCTCTGATTCCATGACTCTCTTTACTGCGACCTGGGCATTTCCTGGATTTTTAGCTTACCAATAACATCAAGAAATATTTTTTTCATGATAATAGCAAATTTAATGCACATAATTGAAGAAAAGATCCTAATTGTGGTTCAGGTTCTTTGGCCGTCCTGAAGGTCACTGGAGGTGTACACTGGTCTAGTATCTCTCCCCACCCATCTCTGTCTTTAAAATCCCCTTAGAAATGTCAACAGCTTGGATGGACTGCAGGTATGTAGGAAGCACATGAGCAATGAAGAGTGCTGCTCCAGTGCTGTAGACCCAGAACGAGATGCTCTTTGGTCTTCCATAGACTTAGTACCACTGTTGACCTTTGCTAATGACCACTCTCCCCAGAACAGCGCCAGCGTGCTGAGTCCTTGCCTGTCTGCTGAGCAGTGGCTGTAGGTTCAGTTGGCCTTGTTCAATCCTAACAATGGTGTTACTGAGGGAGATATTTTCATCCCCATTTGCAAATGAAGAAATTGAGGCTTAGAGAAGTCAGGGAGCCACAGTGAGTGTAGAAGCTGGAATTTGGGCCTAAATCCAGTATCTGATTGCAAAGCCTGTCTTCTTACCTACTTTGCACTGAATAGAAGTTTAAAATATCTCAGATTTATAATAAAAATGTGTATGGAGGGGAGGGGAGGAGGAAGGCTGGGTATAAAAATACAAAGAGGAAAAAGTATCTGGCGGGAAGAGCTATTTTCTCATCTGGTGGGAAGAACCTGGTTACCGGAGGCCTCAGTTACCTTCTGAGTTGAGCCACACACGGGCGAGGAGGAATGGGGACATTGCCTGCTGCTACAGACTCAGAGATGTGGTTCCATTTATAGTTTCCTAAGAACAAATCGCTGCACTGGACACTTGGTATAGTTATGGAGGCAGAACTTTGCCTCCAGATTGCACAGCTAGATCCGGAAGGAGAAGAGGTCTGGGAAATTTGTAAAGGGGACCCTTAAATGGAGTGCAAGGAGATTCTGTGTCCAGCTCCTCTGGCTCATGTAGGGACCAGGGGATTCCTCAACCCATTGATTTATTTAATTCTTTTCTGGTTTTTCTTGGCTCTACTCCAGGGGAATACAGAGAGAACCGTCTGGCAATACCACTTTCGGACCTGGCCGGACCATGGGGTGCCCAGCGACCCTGGGGGAGTGCTGGACTTCCTGGAGGAGGTCCACCATAAGCAAGAGAGCATCATGGACGCGGGGCCTGTGGTGGTTCACTGCAGGTGACCAGTCTCCCCAACACCTGCATCTCAAGGCCAAAGCCCATCCATCTTCTAAGGCCTAGGGCTTGTTTTTACCGACCCACCCCTGCTCTTTAACAGTGGGGAAAATTTAATTTGTATTTGAGGCATGGATAAACTGCACTAAGGGACACTTTGACCCCAAAGTATAGTTCTCATAGACCCTACAGGACTGCCAGGTCCTGCAGGTGGTGAGGTTGCGGGGGTGATCATAGTCCTTATTCTCCAGGAGCCCTTGGTCTAGTAATGCTTGGTTTTCTTTTTTAATATAGTAATTTAGGAATCATCTCTTTGTGATTTTATTCTCTTCTGCCATGGAATTAAGGTACATTTTTGCCCCTAATTATACCTTTGCTTGCCTAAAAAGGTTTGGCCCAGCCTCTGGACGCCATGCCTGTGGCCTACTTCAGAGTTTGCAGACTGCTGGTGCCCAAGTCTGGGCGTCACAATTGTACTTGGGCAACTTTAGTTTCCTAAATCTCATTTGTTGGGCAAGCAGATGTGTGTGAAACCTCATTTGTTCAACTTTTTAAAAGCTACTGTTTCTTGAGCAGTTGCTCTGTCGCAGCCTCTGAGCTCTGTGTTTTCATACAGTACTCACATTTGATCCTCACAACAACCCCGTATGGTGTGTACTGTAAACCCCATTTCACAGACGAGGAAACTGAAGGTCAGTGAGGTTAAGGGACTTGCCTCAGGAATGCTGAACTGGAGAAGCTGGGCTCTATGTGCAGGTTGGACTGACTCCTGTGCTCTTAGCTAATATATTTTCAAATATAAAGGGACAATCTTACAAATACTCCCAAGAGCAGACATTGTTTCTGTTAATGTATTAATGGCTTGGTTTTGGGTCTAGCACCCCAGGAACAACTCCATTGTCATACTCTTTGTCCTTCTGCCCACAGTGCTGGAATTGGCCGGACAGGGACATTCATTGTGATTGACATTCTGATTGACATCATCAGAGAGAAAGGTAGGTCACCTGGGGCAGAAGCTACAGCTCCTGTTTTTAGTTTATGGAAGCAAAGTGCCAGTGAAACTAGCTTGGGGAAGAGAATTTGTATGTCAAAAAATTTTCACAAAAATTTGGGCTGAAGACTTCAACTTTCAGTATGTTTGCCAGAGAACTGGAGTACTGCTCTTTGAGTCTTTGGAGTAAAATGAAGCCTAGGAGCGCTGGATTCCACAGCTGTGGTCCTTGACTGAATATGCAGTGGTGGTCTCTACCCAGCCACCTAATGATCCTTGCTGCTAGTACGGGGTGGTGCTATTGGAAAATGAGGGACCTCTAACCTCCAGCACTTTTCCATGTAATCTTCCGGGTCATTGGTATTGGTGCTGTAGCCCTCAGAACATGTTTGGTCAGAGCATTAAAAACTAAATGTGCTTTACCTCTGAGTCTGCTAAAAGTTGTGCAGTAAACCACTTCATCCTGGCCGTGCAGTTTCTCCTAATGCTTCGTGGTGCTTGCCTTGTAGGTGTTGACTGTGACATTGACGTTCCCAAAACCATTCAGATGGTGCGGTCTCAGAGGTCAGGGATGGTGCAGACAGAAGCCCAGTACCGGTTCATCTACATGGCTGTTCAGCATTATATTGAAACACTACAGCGCAGGATTGAAGAAGAGCAGGTACTGAGACTGGACAGGCTGCATATGGATTTTCATTTTCTTTTCTGGGCAGCTTGGAAATGCTTTCCTTTTGAGCGGGATAGGCTCTGATAGATGACTGTCTACTTGGGAATGGGAAACAAGTACCTAACGAGGGAGGGCCTCTCTGGAAACGATTCCCTGCTTCACAGTTCTGGTTTTTCAGTGTGGAGGGGTTTAGGGGGGCAGGGGTATCATGCCACTGTCCCAGTCTGACAGGTTGGGGAGCTGCCACTGAGAAAGGTTGGGGTTCTCCCAGGTTCACATGGCAAACTTAGATCTCAAAGCCTCAAAGTTTCCAGCCTGTTCTGGTTTTGATCCAGGCCATATTTATCCTGATTCCATCTCTTAAATAAATGCTTCACTCTCAATAGCACACAGCAGTTTGAACAACCAATTTGGTTGAGTTGGAAACAGTGACATTTCAATTTTAATAAGCCATGCATAATGAAGAGGGCTGTGGGACTGGAGCCTTTTCATTTCCAACAGTTCATAACAGACACAAAGCTGAGTTCATCAGGAAGATGCTGAGACGAGGGAAATGAGGCAACTGCTCTTTTGGGGAGCTGTGCTTATCTGCATCCCCATTCCCGCCTCCCACCCCACTGCTGTGCGGCAGAGGGGGTGGTTTCTGAGCATCAATGATATTTGCCTGTTTTGCCCTGTTAATTGCCTTCCAGATGACTCAGCTTCTCAAAGTGGGACCTGCCACCCAACTGAAAGATTCTAGCCTCGTAGAAGAGCAGCTAATCATCAAACCTTGTCAGCCAAAGTTCATTAGTTTAGTAGGTTCCCAGTCCACACGAAAATACTCACTACATTATTTCACTATACAAAACATCTTCAGAAATAGTGTATATGTAGAAACGGAAGGTCAAATAATCCAGAAGTTACTGGTTTTGAACTTTTAGTGCTTTCAGTCTGACTTTGTGTTATTGTAAGTGCTGTGAAATGCTTAGATGGCTACTTCAGGCTCTTTTATATTTGTTTAGTTTGGGTCAGGAATAGTCAAAGTATAAAGTTGTCCAAAGAGAAGGACTCCTAATATATACAAAGAAAATGCAGCACACTTGGTACAAATTGGAAAAGCGTCAAGAATATCTTGAAGCACATGATATAGTCGTGCTTGGGAAGCTGGGGGAAAAGCTCTCTCTATTTCATTCAGAAGCTTTGGTTTTTATCCTTGTTTTGAAGAATTTAGGGACTTCTGCTTTTATAGCACTTCAGATCTTATTACCACATTCAGTCTCTCTGCCCTAAATCTGGAGTTGTAGTTTGGATTTAGGAACTACTTAAAAAAAATCTTTATTACTGCCTCTTTTTGGGTTGGCTGAGGGGTAGACAAAAGCAAAACATGTTCCTTAACAATTTAAGTATTACAGAATATAAAAACTGAATGTCCCTGGTAATCCCACCCAAGAATGCCTATATTCATTCATTCATTTATTCATTCTTCCTTCCTTCCTTCCTTCCTTCCTTCCTTCCTTCCTTCCTTCCTTCCTTCCTTCCTTCCTTCCTTCCTTCCTTCCTTCCTTCCCTCCCTTTTTTGGTGCCAATGCTTGTTGGCATTGTCCTAAATAAGCACATTAATTCTTTTTTTTTAATTTGAAGTATCTTTGATATACAATCTATGTTGGTTTCAAATATGCAACACAGTGATTCAACAGTTGCCCATATTGTTAAATCTTCACCCCCTCTATTATGGTTACTATCTATCAACATAGAAAGATGTAATAGAATCATTGACTGTATCCTCCATGCTGTACTACTGTCCCCCGTGACCAACTTATATTGTGATTGCAAATTACTGTGCCCCTTTATCCCCTTCACCCTCCTTTCCCCCTTGCCCCAACCCTGTCCCCATGGTAACCACTAGTCCCTTCTCGGTGTCTATGAGTCTACTGCTATTTTGTTCCTTCTGTTTTGCTTTGTTTTTATATTTCACAAATAAGTGAAATCATATGGTATTTGTCTTAATTGGCTTGGCTAATTTCACTGAGCATAATGTCCTCTAGATCCATCCATGTTGTTGCAAATGGGAGGATTTCTTTTCTTTTTATGGCTGAATAATTTTTCATTGTGTATAAATACCACATCTTTATCCATTCACCTATTGATGGGCACTTAGGTTGCTTCCATATCTTGGCTATTGCAAATAGTGTGGCGATTAACACAGGAGTGCATATATCTTTTAGAGTCAGGGATTTTGTTTTCTTTGTGTAAATTTCCTAGGAGTGGAATTACTGGGTCAAATGGTATTTCTATTTTTAGTTTTTTGAGGAACCTCCATACTGCTTTCCACAGAAGTTACACCAATTTACTACATTCCTTCCAACAGGGTTCGCATTTCTCCACATCCTAGCCAGCATTTGTTATTTCTTGTCTTTTGGATAGTTGCCATTTTAACTGGTGTGAGGTGATACCTCATTGTGGTTTTGTTCATTTATTATTTTGTTCCCCTTGCTGAGGAGATGTGTCCAGGAAAAAACTGATCATGCTTATATTCAAGAGATTTTTTCCTATATTTTCATCTAAGAGTTTTATGGTTTCATAATTTACATTCAGGTCTTTGAGCCATTTTGAGTTTACTTTTGCATATGGAGTTAGACAATAGTCCAGTTTCATTCTCTTACATGTAGCTGTCCACTTTTACCAACACCAGTTGTTGAAGAGACTGTCTTTTGCCCATTGTATATTCATGGCCCCTTTATCATATATTGATTGACCATATATGTATGGGTTTATATCTGGGCCTTCTGTTCTGTTCCATTGATCTATGTGTCTGTTCTTGTGCCAGTACCAAATTGTTTTGATTACTGTAGATAAGCACATTAACTCTTATTTGGGATATGAGCCTTTGGAGTTTAAAACTGCATAGGCTTGTTTATTTTTAAAAATGGAACTCTATAATATCCTATAATAATAATGTAGGAACTTGCCACCTAATTTCATGGTAAAGTCAGAAGTACTTTCACTTGGAGTGTTCAAGTGATAGAGTTAAAAACATTAAACCCACCTGACTTTTAAATTAAGCAAAGAGCAAAATTCACTCAGGATAATTATTTTAAAATATAGTCATTTCCTAAATTATGATGAGATAAGGACCTTTGGGAGTGAAAGAATTTTCTGAGAAGAGATAAATGAAAAAAAAAGGAAATGACAAATGGGTGGAGAGCAGCAGGGAAGGAAGTAGAGAAGTGGAAACAGCGGTGGAAGGAGGAAATGCCAAAGCAGAGGTGGGAGGCCAGGGGAAGATGCAACTGAAGCAAGCCTGAGAAAGTTCTTAAGTTTTTATGAATAGTTATCACACTCTGCTGTTTACTTGGAGGTCGATTTCTTTGTTAATTTCCATTTGCCATATTAGGAAAAAAAATTTTTTAATATTCAAAAGGAGTATATGGAGTTCCCTTTACTATGTTAACATCCCCTTTACTATGTTCCCTTTACTATGTTAACATTCCCTTTACTATGTTAACAGACTTTACCATTCATTCATATTCTCTATCTGTACACACACACACATACATATATACAGACATAGATAGAATTTTTAAAATGAAATATGTGTAAGTTGCAAACATCTATGCCGCTTTGCCTCTATATACTTCAATGTGTGTTTCCTAGAAATAAGGCCATTCTCTTACAAGACCACAGTAAAATATCAAAATCAGGAAGTTAACATCAATGCAGAACTGCTTTCTAAGCTACAGAGCATGTGTGCCCATTTGCCCTCCTAATATCCTTCCTGTGGTCCAGATTCTCCGGTATATCAGCTTGTCAGGTATCTTCAATCTTCTTGAATCTGTAATAGTTTTTAAGTCTTTATCTCCTATGACCTTGACTTTTTTAAGAGTTCGGGCCAGTTT